GGTGATGGCTCAGGATTGGAAATCACACATGTGGGACAAACTATAGTTTCCACACAAAATACATCTCTTCCTTTAGACAATGTTTTATGTGTACCCAGTGCTTCTAGAAATTTAATTTCTGTCCATCAATTATGCAGATCAGCCAATGTTATTGTTGAATTTCACGCTACTCATTTTTTTGTGAAGGATCGCAGCACGGGGGCGATATTGCTTCGTGGACAAAACAAAAATGGGGTGTATGAGTTTCCTCTCATGGACCAATCTAGATCACAACCAAGTGCTTTGATGGGTGAACGTACCTCTTTGATAGATTGGCATGCTCGGTTAGGACATCCATCCTCAAAGGTTCAAAACAAAATTTTTAGTGAGAATAGCCTACCGACATCATCCAAGGTAAAACATTTTTCTTGTGATTCTTGCCTTTGTTCAAAGAGTCACAAGCTATCTTTTGGTCATTCTTCTATCAAGAGTCAAGCACCATTAGAAATTATCTATTCGGATGTTTGGGGTCCAGCTCCTTTTTTATCTATTGATGGTTATAATTATTTTGTTTTGTTCATCGATCTTTTTAGTCGTTATATATGGCTCTTCCCTTTAAAACAAAAATCAGAAGTGTCTCTTATTTTTCCTAAATTTAAAGCTTTAGTTGAAAACCAATTTGGTACAAAAATCAAGAATTTTTATTCGGATGGAGGAGGTGAATATATTAGATTACGAGGTTTCCTTTCTGAACACGGAATCTCTCATTTTACTACACCTCCTTATACTCCTGAACTTAATGGTATAAGTGAGCGCCGAAATCGACATATCGTTGAAACTGGTCTCACTTTGCTTCACCAAGCTTCTTTGCCACCTAGATTTTGGTCTCATGCTTTTCTCATAGCAGTATACTTAATTAATCGGTTGCCCTCCTCTGCTCTTTCCTTTAAATCTCCATTTGAAAAACTATTTCAGATAAAGCCAAATTATTTAAAACTTCGAATTTTTGGTTGTGCATGTTATCCTTGGCTTCGCCCATATACACAAAACAAGCTTCAATTTCGTTCTCGTCAATGCTTATTTCTTGGGTATTCTATAGAAAATTTAGGATATAAATGTTTTGATTTACAAACAAATAAAATCTTTTATTCTAGGCATGTCTTATTTAATGAAAAAATTTTCCCATTTAATTCTCACAAGTCTGACACCACATCCACCTCTCACTTTAAAAATTCATTTTTGGGTTCCCATCTTTTCTCCTCTGAAACCTCCTCATCGACCATGCCAATCTCCATTGAGACACGTCTACCTTTAAGGTCCTCCCCTGCGTCCACTTGGCAAGGATCACACCCCACTGCTGCAGCTTCCTCTGATCCTCTCCTTGGTCTATTCCCCACTACCATCACCGTACCCTCCACCACCAACTCCCTATCCAGCCACTCCGTCTCACCCTCACGTCCTCCTTCTTTGTCTCAAACTCCATCCACCCCCTCACCCAACTCACCCGACTCACCCAACTCCCCTAAATCACCCATCACTCACTCGTCGCCCCCCTCACCTACTCCTTTACCACCCATTTCTCCGGCATCTTCCCCTGCTCACACAGGCCGCTCCCGATCTCCAATCTATTCCACCGCCTCACCTCCATCCAGTCTTACGAACCATATGCCAGCCCCTGCCTCATCTTCTCCCCTTCAACCGATAGATCCACCCATCCGCACTCATCCCATGGTAACTCGTTCTCAAAACCAGATTTTTAAACCAAAGCAACTCTACCTTGCTGAAACTCCCTGTTCGGAGGTTGAGCCAACATGTGTGAGTCAAGCCCTGAAAGATCATCGGTGGAGGCAGGCCATGTCTGAGGAATTCACTGCTTTGGTAAGTCAAGGTACATGGGATCTCGTTCCTCCTGCACCTAACCAAAATATTATTGGTTGTAAGTGGGTTTTCAGGTTGAAACGAGGCAAAGATGGACGAGTTGAACGTTATAAAGCTAGACTTGTAGCTAAGGGATTCCATAAACAACCGGGGACTGATTACACTCAAACCTTCAGTCCAGTTATCAAACCGACAACAATCCGAGCCATTCTCTCCATCGCTGTAAGTAGGGGTTGGAAAATTCATCAGTTAGACATCAACAACGCATTCCTTCACGGGAAACTTGATGAACAATTATTTATGCAACAACCCGCTAGGTTCATTGATCCTCATCTTCCCCACCATGTTTGTCGGTTACAAAAATCTCTCTATGGGCTTAAACAGGCCCCAAGAATGTGGTTTCGAGAATTAAAACAGTTTTTGCTTGCTCACGGTCTCACCAATTCGAGGTCAGATTGCTCCCTTTTTATTTATTGTCAGAATACTGATTGGCTTTATGTCTTGGTGTATGTAGATGACATACTCATCACTGGAAGCAATCCTGTCGCTATTGACAATTTGATCACTGCCATGAGCTCCAAATTTTCCGTGAAAAATCTTGGTGAACTGGACTTCTTTCTCGGAGTGGAAGCTATTCGAACTAATGCTGGCTTATTTCTTTCCCAGCAACGGTATATCCAAGACATTTTGCAAAGAGCGGGCATGGATAATGCCAAAGCAGTAAGCACGCCCCTCTCTTCTACAACATCTCTTCGGCAATTCTCAGGTCACTCACTCACCGACCCAACGGCATATAGACAAATTGTTGGTTCCCTTCAGTATTTATCTCTAACTCGGCCAGATTTATGCTTTGCTGTTAACCGGCTATCTCAATTCATGCATAATCCTATTGATCTTCATTGGCAAGCAGTGAAACGTGTTCTTCGCTATCTTAATGGTACAAAATTTCATGGCCTTTTGCTTCGTCCACAAACCTCTTTATCTCTTCATGGTTTTTCTGATGCTGATTGGGCTGGTGATAAGGACACTTCAATTTCCACAACTGGCTATGTGATGTACCTTGGCTCCAGTCCGGTGTCCTGGAAAGCAACCAAACAACGAGTTGTAGCACGAAGCTCAACAGAGGCAGAGTACAAAGCACTAGCAGCAGCTAGCTCCGAAATGGTTTGGATTCTTAATCTTCTTCATGAACTTGGCATCCATCCTTCCACACCCCCTGCGCTTTACTGTGATAATATAGGGGCAACCTATCTCAGCAGCAATCCAGTCATGCATTCTCGCATGAAACACATTGCCATCGACTTGCACTTTGTTCGTGACTTAGTGGACCACAAAGTCCTTCGAGTTTCTCATATCTCTTCTAAAGATCAGTTTGCCGATGGACTTACCAAGCCCTTATCCAGTGCTCGCTTTACTTATTTGAGATCCAAGATTGGAGTCACAGACGGCTCCTCCATCTTGCGGGGGCGTGTTAAGGAAAAGATCTCTGCAATCTCTTCATGAGCAATTCCCGCTCCTGATTTATGTCAATCTTTGATTTAGTGTCAATCTTTGATTTTGTGAATATTATATTATGTTTCCTTTTGTAATAGGGTTACTAAGTTTGTGTGCCTGTATATATAAGTGTTGCATACAAATGAATAGAATTAAGTCATTTAGAATTCTCTTGTTTCAAACTCTATTACCTAGCAACTTGCAACAATAATGAGAGATGTTTCGTTCTCCATTGCAAAAACTACCTACAATTGCTCTCTGGTTATGATTACATGGATGCCTTGTGATTGAAAAAATTAAGACTCAAATCAACTAAAACACTAATGTTCTGTTTTTCTGTCCAAGCAATTTGGACTGTTATGGTACTGAGAAGAATCTTAATAATCCATGCCACCCATGCCGCCCATTGCTGGAGTTTCCTTCTCATCCTTCGGGAGCTGCGATACAATAGCTTCGGTTGTTGTCATCAATGATGATACACTGCAGAATAAAGGCAGCATGTCCAGATAGTTACTTAAAGATACCAAGACACAAGATACGAAAAAAAAGAGGCAGAATTATAATCACTTTTCCAGCTTTACCTTGCAGCATCAACCAAGGCAGTTCTAATAACTTTCAACGGGTCAATAATACCGGCTTTAACCATGTCAACATATTCACCTGGTTATGAAAAAGAAGAGGTAGGATAAGCCTTTTAAGTGCATCCGTCTTAATTATAAGCACATAATACCTAAATGAAAAGAAACACAAGATGTGCACTGACCTTTGGCAGCATCCTATCCAAGATCAGGGTTATCTTGTTCCAACAACTTGCCAACCACAACAACTCCCTCAACTCCTGCATTGGAAGCTACAGCGTACACAGGTGGCTGCAATGAAATAAGATAATTTATGTGGGTGAGCTACACTTCTGCACATGTCAGTATGTGCAATGTTTGTATTTCTAAACTTTTTTCACCAAAACATATAAAACGTTTCCAAATTCAGAAGTACTGTCAAACCTGCAACACTAGCTTTCAACACACTGATCCATTTGATCTGAATACAAGAGTTATACAAAACTTCAGAGCATTCTGAATAATCTGAACACCAATCTCCTGGTCAAAGTTGTCAGTAGGCAGCTTGTGCAACTCTTCTGACGCAAACAAAAGAGCAACACCACAACTACATGGCAGAACTCCTTTAAGCATGCTTTCAAATTCTAAATCTGAGGGATACAAGGGGTAAAACAACTTACAAGACTTAGCAGGCACGATACCCTCTTCCACAGTAGCCTTCGTGGCATTTAAGGCATCTGTGACTCTGTCCTTTTTCTCACCAACTTCAGCTTCATTAGCTCCTACAATCTGTTTGTAAATTTCCAGAGTTTTCCATTCAACACATCAAAAGAAATAGCAAGATAGGAATGTCCATAATTACTTAACGTGACGACAACTCTGCAGTTACTAAATAGCTAGAGTGGAAGCAAGTTAAAGCATTTCAAAGATGAGTCGCTGGCAAGTAAATAAATGCGTTAACACAAAGGAGAGTAGGCAGACTTTCAAAACAGCAACACCACCAGACAGCTTAGCCAATCTTTCTTGCAACTTCTCCTTGTCATAGTCAGAGGTGCTCAATTCAATTGCTGACCTAATCTGTCATTGTTAAGCACATAATCAAGTTATTACGTAGGATCGCAATGGAATTATGACAAATAACAGATTCTGACATCAAAAGTAATAAAAAACAAATATCTGCCCACAAGGCAGCAACATTTACCTGTTCACATCTTTCCTCAATAGACTTCTTGTCACCAGCCCCATCAAGAGTTACAGTATCATCTTTTGACACAGTAACCTAATATAAACAAACAGACCATGCATCAAAAAAACTGCAGGATGTAGTTACCAACTGCTCCAAATCTCAAAATTTACCCGTTAAAAGTATCAACAGATAATCACAAGTCAGTCGAAATTTCCAACACAAAACAGAACAATTAAAGAGTTGAGAAGCAACACTGGAAAGTGCAAACTTCACAAACATATAGTGACTGTTTGCATGATCTAAGCACATCAAATTCCACCTTCTCGAGGTTCATGCCAAGTTCTGTAGTTATAACCTGTAGTAGAAAAAGCAGCAACAATTATTAAAAAAAAAAAAAGTTTTGATTACAATACCGAAGAGCATAATTTTGACAACAATATAATATAAAAGACAGTATCATCACCTGTCCTCCTGTAAGGGCAGCAAGATCATGTAGACCAAGCCTTCCTATTCTCTCCAAAACCAGGAGCCAGGCAACAACAACGGCAGCAGCGGCGGCAGCAACAGAAGTAGCAGCAGCTGCTGCTGCTGCAAATCCAACTGGCATGGAGCTAGATTTACCAGTGGATCCAAATGAGCCCACATACTGTTTCTGCAACCAAGTCAGCTTTGGTGAGATGGTGGCATGCGATAACCCTGATGTAAGTAATCAAGTTTATTGTTTATCTCTCTAGGAAAATATCTTTTGCCTTGTTTTCTAAATTTATCTGACACACAAGTCTTTGCTTCTTTCAACAGTGCAAGATAGAATGGCTTCATTTTGGATGTGTTGGTCTTAAGGAACAACCAAAAGGAAAATGGTGTTGTTCAGACTGTGCTGCTGCAAAAAATCGCCGCAAAAGCAGATGAATTGATGCTGAATTTTTATTTATACAATCTTGATGTCTAAGTTTATGTTTTGCAATGACCGTAGTATGTTGCCAACTTTTATCATATCATTGTGTGTTATTTCATGTTTCTGGAACTTGTATGGGTATATTTAAGATGTGTTAGTATTTCAATTGTATACTTGTATGACTTATTTAAAAGAATTTTGCAGGAAGATTAGGATACTCCTTCAGTAAATAAAATTATATTTCTTCCTACCACAGATTTTTGCATTTATGCGGACACTATGGATTCAACTTTCCTTCTGGATTTACTAAGCGTGTTCAATTCATGGCTCGCTTTGTTCGTGGATTTTTTTTTTTAATTAAAAATTTTTTTAAAAATTGAAAAACAACAAGAAGAGGAAGAAATCCACCAAAAAATAAAAATTCACAATTCTGAAATCTCACACCTAAGATGGAAAATGAAAGC